AAATAATATAATGATAAAGAAAAATAAGATTGAAAATTTTTTATTTTAAAGATGCGAGATAATCCAACACTTCAACATGTACCTATGGCAGTTGGTGGTGAAGGCATGTTGGTAATTATTTTTATTTATTTAATTTAATTTCAATAGTTATTATAATTTTGTTTTTAGTCCACATCAAATTATTTAGCTCGTCAATTTGGTGTACGTGCAGCAATGCCTGGATTTATTGCACGACATCTTTGTCCAAATCTAGTTATTGTACCTTGTGATTTTGAAAAATATCGAACTGATAGTTCGAAAATCATGTGAGAGAACAAATAAGTTTTGTTTTTTTTTTTGGTTGTATTATGAATATATTTTTATTTTAGGAAAATTATTAGTGAATATGATGAAAATTATGGTTCATGTGGTCTTGATGAAGCTTTTGCTGATTTAACAAATCATTTACAAATACGAAAAACATTATCGGAAGAACAACGAACATTTCCGAAAGAAGTAAATGTTTGTTTGTTTGTTTTTCAGAACTCTTTTGTGATTGTCTATAAAATGTATATATATGCAAGAAATTTAAAGATTTTAACTAGTGGCATAACGAGGATTTTCTAGTATCCTGGATCTCTGGTAGAGAGCATGGGTCCCAAATGAAAACTTATGTACATTGATATTGGACTCAAATAATGAGTTTTTATTGGAAAAAATTTTAAATCAGAGTTTGCAAAAAAAATTAGCATTTTCCTGAGCCCTACCAGAAAATGTTTCACGTCTTTCATGATATGTCGTTTTCAGGAATGCCATCAAAAGCTACATCAAATTTCATCGATAGATTTCAAATTTCATTTAAAAAAATTCATCCGTTCAGAAGTTGTGAGATTTTCAATTCCTGGTGAAATTTTTTCGAAACGTCTCGAATCTTAAAAACGCCATAACTTCTAAACGGATCAACTTTTTTCAATGAAATTTGAAATCTGTCGATGAAATTTGATGTAGCTTTCGATGGCATTCTTGAAAAGGACATATTATTAAAGATGTGAAATATTTTCTGGTAGGACTCAGGAGAATGCTAATTTTTTTTTGCAAACCTTGATTCAAATTTTTTTCCGATAGAACTTCATCATTTGAGTCCAATATGAATGTACATAAGTTTTCATTTGGGACCCATGCTCTCTGATGCAGATCCAGGATACTGGAAAATCCTGGTTACGCCACTAATTTTAAATCGAAATTTTAGGAAAATTCAATTCAAACAATCATATTTGGTATTACAGCAGAAGAAACTGTTCAAGAAATTCGACATCGAATATATTTAACAACACGATTAACAGCTAGTGCTGGTATTGCATGTAATATGCGTTTAGCTAAATTATGTTCTGGTAATATAATATAATTCTTATAAATATTTTATTTTTTTATTCTATAAATAATAGATATTAATAAACCTAATGGACAATATCAATTAGAATCAAATGTAAATATTATTTTAAATTTTATTCGAAATTTACCAATACGAAAAGTATTTATATAAAAAAAAAGATAATTGATAATTATATTTATATTCAATTTTATTATAGATAAAAGGTATTGGAAAAGTAACTGCTCTTCATTTAGAATCACTTCAAATTCAAACAGTTAATGATATTTATTTAAAACGTGGTATTCTTAAATTAATTGAATATCCATCAACATTTGATTTTCTTATGCGTGTTTGTAATGGTTATGGTTCAACAATTATTGAACATGATGATTTACAAAAAAGTATTGGACATGAAACGTAACTAAAAAAATAATTAAATTTCATTCATTTAATCAATTATTTTTATCTTTATTATTAGAACATTTAATGGTACAAATGATTCATTACAATTAATATCACTTTGTCGTGATTTAGTAAAGAAAACCGTTGATGAACTTATATCTGATCGTATTTTATGTAAACGTATAACACTTAAAATTAAAACAGTTAATTTTGAAATTTTAACACGTTCAAAAACACTTTCATCTTATACAGATTCATTAAATATAATAACTGATAAAGCTATTGATTTACTTAAACATGAACTTGATCAAGATCTTGAATTACCAGCTTTACGTCTTATGGGTAAGATAAATATGTTCAAGATCGAAGTTACTAGTTGCTATTAAGTATTATCTTAGGACGCATCAGTATTTTATCTAGATTTCGTTTCCCGAGTGGGCGAGTCAAAATTCCGGGTGGGCGGCACCCACCCAGTAGATAAATCACTGGGACGCATATGGTGATAAAATTTTTAGAAAAGTATAGATAGTAAGTTCAATAATAGCAGAATTTCTATTTACATAAGCACTTCTCTATTCAATGAGACTATGACATAAGTACAGAAGTGATGTAATAAATTAATGAAAAACTCGAATTTACTAGACAATTCTAAGTAGCAAGTCATTCTTCTCATAGATTTCACATATAAAAACTTCTATTATTCTCTAGAGTTTAAAACTATTTTTTCGGCGAATATCTGTTATAAACATATTGACTCTCCAGTAATTTTAAATTACTTGTCTCTCTCTCTCTATAAAATTATAAATAATTCGTTAATTTTTAGGTGTACGAGTATCTGATTTAAAAATGAAAAGTTCTGATTTACCAATTCTTCAATTTTTTTCAAAAAAACCTACAACAACAACAACAACCAATGAAAATACTCATGACATGATTGAAGATATTGATAATGATGATGAAGTGGAAGAAGAAGAAGAAGAAGAAGAAAATGAAAACACAGAATTTCTATTAATTGAAAATCAACATAATGAAGATTATGATTCTAAATCAATTCATTTTGATGATGAAAATTCTAATACAAATACAACTACATGTCCTGTATGTCAAAAAATGCTTTTAGGTGATAATGATAAAATAAATAAACATATTGATTTATGTTTAAATGGTGAAATAATTCGAACAACAATTAAAGAACAAGATCAACAAACATCACCTCAGACAAATTATAATAAACGGTGTTTTTTTAAAATATTCTAATCAATTTAATTTTTATTTTGTTTTTTCTTTTTTTTAGTATTAATTCAACACAATCAAAATTAACACCATCAACTAAACGACAAAAAAGAAAATCTAATACAACACCACAACGAACAAATGGTATTGATAATTATTTTTCAAAACAAATTTAAACTAATTATGTTATATATTCAAGACAGTTTTTCTTTTTTTGTCAGATAATCGTATTCATCTTATATTTTTATTTTGTATAATTGTTCATTTCGTTTTCTTCTTATGAGATTAAATTAACGTTTGGTTATTATGAAACTCTTATTAAATTCTTCTTATATGGACATTGGATGTTGTTATAACTAAATCAACTTCAAAAAAATTAATACTTTTTTTTGCAGAAAATATGATTGTAATCTCTTAAAATTTTATTTCTGAGGTCGGAATCGATTGAATGAACATTAAAATATTCGATGACATGCGAAAGATCAGACAATAAGGTATTCATTTTTTTTCAATGAGAATATGCTCAAGTTATGACTGCTACCTGCTGCAAAACATCGGATGCCGATATTTATCTATCGATGTCGATAGTAAGAGATACACCTGTTATTGATAGATTGAACGAAACGATTTTTTTCTGAGAGACAATATTGCCAACCCTAGATAATCAGATGAAAACAATATGATCTACTGATTGACTCTTGCAAATGACTCATCTTATCACATTTCATCAATCAATCGATCAATATAAAGAAAGGACAAACAATAGACATTTGTTTTCTTTTCCTCACGTTGAAATGTACTTAAAATAGTTGGACTGAAAACAAACATATGAATAAATGCAAATACATTTAATAGGGTGTGTGGGTGTGTGTAGATGTTGTGCTTCTCACGAATCAAATTCACACCAGAATTACGGTGAAACAAGGTCTAAATTAATGTAGTAATTTATCGTATTAGAACCGTTTGAGACCGACTGAGATATCGTTTCTGATGATCGGAATGATCGCCCGGGAATAATAATAATAATGCTCAAGTAAACTCAATAATGACTTCTTTTGCTGTGATATGGAAAAACTTTGAACTGTTTTTGATCTGTTAATATTCGATTTCCTAGAAAATTTGTTTCTTTAACTAAAAAAAAGCGCGTATTTTTTTGTCGTTTGAACAATTCTCCATTGTATCTAATACAAATGTATAAATGTATAGATGCTAGATAATAGTAGCTATCTTGAATTGTGCAAAACATATTTATATTTAGATTCTTTAAATTCGATCTAAGTGTAATATGTATTTCAACATTTAAATTGAGTTTTGTCGGAAGCAACTCATGCTCAAAAGAGATAGAATTCTTATATAATGATTATTTACTGATTCTCTATATCTCTAATTGTATGGCTGTTTAACTCCGACCACTACTTATACAATTGCAGCTCTAATTCAGCAACATTAACAGCTATTTATATAATATCTAATGATAGCTATTTGTTTATATTATATATTTCTAATTGTATAACTGCTGCTTCATCTCAAATACTAGTTGAAGATTTCCAGCCATAACAAGTAATTTCGAGAAAATATCGAAATTGAGTTTGCATCAGAGGAAGATACACCGGAGCTTCCTCTTTCAGAATATATTTGATATTTCGAAAAACGACCACTATTTTTACACACTGATTTTTTTCTGTTTTGGAAAAACTCCGTTCTCATTTGCATCAGCATTGAATTTAAGGATGTGAATGCGGATACAGGTGGATGGAAGTGTTCTGTGTCCACTCATAGTCACAATCCACACTCATATCCAATAAAGAAACAAAGAAATACTACGCATAGATGATGATATGACCTAATATTATAGACAAGTTTGACACAAAAATAGTTTCTATCAAAATTTTATTAATTATCATATTATTTGAAGAGTGATTAGATAGCACAGAAAGCTAAAGCTTTATTTTCTCTGTCATTACGAAAAAAAACTCCTTCCATTTGTTTATGCGGAAATAAAGTATCTCCACCATTACTCTTGAATTGTGTAAGTGATTTTTGATTTCTTTTTGGTCATTGGAACAGTAATATTTCCTTTTGAATCACACAGAAATACATTACATTTCTTATAGCAAATATGTGTTGATTCACCAAAGATGATATGCCAAGTATATTCAAGTGATCTACTTGTGTAATGATCTGAATAATTAGTATACATAATATAATCAAGAATATCTGAATAAAATATTGCTGGATGAGCAAGAATAGCTTCTCTTTTAACAGCAAATGTTGCACAACAATGTGTTACTATTCCGAGTTCTGGTGGAGGACCAAGTTCTTTTTGTAAAACATCTTCCCATAATTCATAGTTAACTCTTTCTTGAAGATCACTTGAATTCGCTTTAAATGTATGATGAGTCAATCTAATAGTTAATGGCATATAATTATATTTATGCCATTGTAATGCTCGTAATGCAGTAACAACAATATCTGATGGATTTTCTTGATGATAAGATGTTCGATGTCCATGAACAAAAGCCACTGATAATGGTAAATTTGAATAATGGTCAATAATATATCGAAGATATGCTGCAGGATCTCTACCTTTATTGATTCGAAGCTTACGATGATGTGCTAATGGGTTAGGTGATCGTGTATAAACAATATATGGAATTTGTTCATCATCAAGTAAATTAAGCCAATCTAAATTTTCATAAGCATGTGATATAACGACAATTTTATCAGATTGAGATAGTGTATCTGTTTGATTAGTAAAACTCTGTCTTTTATTCGAATTTCCATACACAGATATTTTAAATTCGAGAAATTGAACTTGAGATAGATAAAAAGTAAGAAAAATAACTAATAATAAAACGAAAAATAAGATTAAACGATGAAAACCAATAGATAATATATAATCTACAAGATATTAAGTTTTTACCGACAAAAAAACTTTTATAATAATATTTTTACCTTTTGACTGTGTAATATGATGAAACGGTGTATTCATTTTTTTAATCTTTGTATAATATTACAAGGATATGTATAGGGAAGACCAAAACAGAAATCGTCGAAGCGAAACACGTCGAACAAGAAACACGAAAAGGAAAGAACGTGACTGATAAAAAATATTGAAAAATACGGTAGAAAAAAAAATGTCGAAATAAAAAAACGTCGACCAAGAAGGGTGGGATGTGTGAATTGAATATTGACCGTTCCACAGCAAACGGCATTTGTCTCGGTTATGTTAGAATGTCATCAAGTGAACTCTCATTGAAGGTTATATTATATCATATTCTGAGTAGTCCAATATAAAACAAAAAATAAGATTGAAATTTTACTTTGATACAGTATTCTTCTATGAATTTACTATTACACACTCAATCATCAATATGAGAATGATAGAAATAATATACGTACAGAGATTATCAATGGTATTTGTTAATGTGTTAGTCGATAGTTGGTTTCTTTAATGTCTGATTGATTCTTTCGCTGGACAAGGATAATGACTAACTTTATGTTGTGTTGACAGATGCACCTATAATAATTGATTGATATTAATATAGTATATCTAATAAGAAAAATACATATTATCTGATCAAGTAGCATAGTAATATACATTTCATTTGTTATAGCATCTTGTATTTTTTCGTCATGTTGTTGTTATGATTGAGAATTCATATGTTGATTAACTAGTTTTGTAATTGTATATAGATTACATATTGGCAGTGTTTGCATTGTGCTTTTCGATGATTACGATGCATTCTTCTATACGGTTTTGCTTGTATATTTTCATGTGATTGTTGTTGTGTAGTCAAGCTTTTATAAATGAAAATATTGCATATTAGTGACCTTGAACATTGTAATTCGGAGTTTTTATTGTTTCTTTATAAAGAGAAGGGTGAGTGTGTGCTTCAATCAATTAAATAAAGACTAATCTATATGTCGTCTATTATACAAGCTCATCTGCTGCTTCCGACTTTTGCTTTTCAGCAATCAACTAAGTCGAAAAATCAAACAATAGAATAATAATAGTTAAATACGCTTCAATTAAAAATAATGAAAAAAAAAACTGCAAAGTTAATTTCATCGGCACGTTTCATATTATTTATTAAAATATTGAAACACTAATCAGAGCTCTGCATTACAAATGATAGGCAAAAATTAAAATTGAAATTCAAGTGATAGGAAAAGCGTAACAAAAAAAAATTGAAGAAATGATAATTTTTTTAATTTTGGGCATGGGTGTTGATGTGAGTATCGACGATAAGACAATTCACATTCACACCCTTGTTTTTTTTTTCGAATCAACAACACAGTGATGACCATAAATATAAATTAACCGATAGAGACTGAAGAGAGTGCAGTGATGCTCTCAAATATAGAAGAATAATCAAGCGAATAGTTCACGTTCAATCAAAAAGAGACCTCGAAGAGAGCAAAAAAGAATATTGTTATGTTCAATTTCCTATACAAATGCTTTCAAATTTACAAGTACAATAGTCTCATCAGAAAGAAAAAATATCATTGAAGCAAAAGATAGAGTTTTGATGAAGCTACGTGATAGTATTTTAAGCGACTTCATCTTTCTCGAAAATAATCGATCTTTTAATACAGAATCAATATATGCATTTTTGTAGAAATTTCCAAAAAATCATGTATAGTGAACAACATTGCTATGGACTTTTGAGCACTTTGCTAGTACATTAGAATGAATATTTATTTTTTTATCAAAAGATGCGTCGTTGCTCTCTCTATAAGATTATGTAAACTAAATTTTAGGCACTCAGAAAATAGCTGCATAACAAAAACAAAAAAGGGTCACGTTCCCATGTTCTAATGACTATTTTTTTTGGTTGACATATGAAATAAATAATTTTGTAAAGCATCCTCTGCTCTATCAATTGGTATAATTTGATAACGACTTCGATCAATTTTTTTTTGTGATAAAAAATATCATACATGCATACGAATCAAAAGTCATAGATTTTGAGATACCGATATATAGGGTCAAAACAATTGGATAGGCAAACTATTGGAAGACTTTATTCAATAGTTGTAAAAATTTTAGTTTTTGAGTAACTTTGTTTGCTCTTTCAAATTAGCTAATTCATTACAGAAAAAAAATTTTTCGGCATCTAAACGCTACTATTTTGGGTGGTGATTTCATGGACTCTTTCTTCGTATTCTTCGATTTTAAGTAAATCATCAACATAATGAGAAAAAGAACAGAAAAGATAAAATAATGCTTAAATTTTACAGAAATTAATTTCATCATCAAGGATATCTATTAAAAAATTTTTTGATACACTACAGCAAAAAATGGTGAACAATGAACTCGAGTTTGGGTCATATTGAATTCGGTTCACTTCGGACGTCCAATGAAATTTCATTCAATATGAAAATATTTTGAACTCAACTTGAAATTATATGTGCACACACTTTGTGCATTTGCAATCGTTACCAGGAACGAGAATTACGTTGATTTTGCTGTTAGATAATGTTGAAAGCATTAATCATAATAAACTCTAATATATTCGTTAAATTTTTTGAAAAGTCGTCACACTACTCTGATGATGATATATGTATAGTATTGAAAGCTTCCAATAAAAATGAATTTTCTGTAATTTTTATCTTGTTTTTAAAGTTTATTAGAAACTGTAAACATAAATATCATTTCATTGACTTTATACACAATTAATCCGATGAGTAATTGTCATACTACATCAAATACGAGTATGATAAAACATAATTATTAGAACTGTATCGTAAGTTGGGTTTTTTGTGAAATCTAGACGACTTGATTTATGTAACTAATTATGATTTCAATGAGACAGAAACGACTCATGAATTAAGTTTTCGTAAAGGAGATAAACTCGAAATTTTAGAAAAATATGTGTGAATAAATTTTCTTTGATTTTTTTATTGATCTATGTTATTCCAGTTTTATTTAGATACAATGATTGGTGAAAAGCAAATAATATGCGAACAAAACAGATCGATTACGTACCAGTGAACTGTATATCATTAATAATTGATCCAATAGCATTCGAATGAATTTATATTCTATTTATATCCATGATGTCTTCTTTTGTTTTAAATGGTACTTCACAGAAACAAATCGTCATGATGCTGAACGATTTCTTGAACAACCACATAATGGACAAGGCACATTTTTAATTCGATCTTTGGATACAGATCTCAAGGTAGAATTGAAATGAGATGGAAGATAAATTTTGAAAATATTGATTTATCTTTTCTCTAGGACAAGAATCTTTGTCTATACTTAATTTAAGTGAAGATAAACATTTCCATGTTAAAAATTATTATATTCGCCGAACAAATGAAGGTATAAACTATATTAGTCGTAGAAGTGTTTTTCCTGCTCTTGAAGACCTTGTCGAGTATCATTGAAGTAAGCAAATATGAATTATAGGGACAGAAACAAGAAAAAAAACCTATTGCTGTTTTTTTACATAGTTGAAATGGATGGTCTTTGTTGTTTACTCAGTTATCCTTGTCGAAAAGTTAAATTGACAGCTACAGCTGATCAACATGGTTTACTTGAGCTTGACCGATCTCAACTTGTTCGAACAGAATTATTAAATACAGGAAATTTTGATGACGTATTTAAAGGCAAATATGGTCAACGTGATGTATTAATTAAATATGTGCAACTTGACAATGAAAATTGTTCGTTCAATGTCGAAAAATTTCTTGATGAAGCCAAAATAATGAAAGATCTTGTACATAAAAGTATTATTCGTTTATAGGGTGTTTGTGCACAAGAAGAACCAATGTTTATTGTTATGAAATATATCGCACATGGATATCTACTTATATTTACAGGATGGACCAGGTAGAAATTTCAACTTGAAGCTAATATTCGATTTTGCAGTACAGGTAAAATAAAATTTAAAAAACTTTTAAAATAGTCTCAATATAAATCATTAATTAAGATTACCAAAGGCATGTACTATCTCGAACAAAAATGCTATGTACATTGTGATCTTGCTGGTAAGATTCTTTCCTTTTAAAAGAAATCAATTTATTTATGATGTTCAAATAATTGAAATAAGTTGAAAATCGATTATATCTGTTTTTCTAGCATGAAATATTCTGGTCGGAGAATCGCATGTAGTGAAAATCGATGGTTTTGGTCGGGCGAATATTCTTCACGGGGTCTAGGAAAGAAGCGCACGAGGAAAATTGCGCACGGAAAGATGCGCACGAGGAAAATTGCGCACGGAAAGATGCGCACGGAAAGTAGCACACTTGGAAAGTTGCGCACGGAAAGAAGCGCACGAGGAAAGTTGCGCACGGGAATCTTGCGCACAGATATTTTGCGCACGTAATATTGATTCCTCGTTTTCATGTCAATAAAAGTTCAATGAACAAATTAGCAAAAATAATTTATTTTTAAAGTGATTAATTGTAATATTAATAATTAGAACTACAGTATAAGAAAAAGAGCTAAAGTTTACTACTGTACAAATACAATGTCAATATTCAGTGTTTCTATTTCTAATGAAGATATTTATTATAAGGTTATATTATGTGCTAGCGCACTTAATTGATCGACAATATGATGATGAGGATTCAAAACAATATTGAGTAAACGTTTATCCCGATGTTGATAATTTTTCTTCTTTGAAACCGGTTCACCGGCATTAACTCTGCCGATCTTCGTATGAATATGTGAGTCTTCTTCAAAAATTAATTTGTCGATGAATTTCCATAAAGTCGGATGAGAACATTGAAAAATACATTATTGAGCTTGAATTTAACAAAGCTAGATATTTTTGTTCTTGTCTTCACATTTCTAATCATTGTTCATGCACAACTGATAGTCTGATATTTCGTGCGCTGCTTTCCGTACGCAAGTTTCTTCGTGCGCAAATTTCCATGCGCATCTTTCCGTGCGCAAAGTTCCTCGTGCGCAACTTTCCATGCGCATCTTTCCGTACGCAAATTTCCACGTGCGCATCTTTCCGGATCCCTTCTTCACGATGATCATTTAATGGACGATTTAGGTATGTTGACAAATTTCTTTTCCTTACTATACATTCATTTGAATAGAATCTCAATATCCAATTAAATGGACAGCGCCCGAAGTAGTTGTAACAAAAGAATACACAGCTAAATCTGATATATGAAGTTTTGGTATACCTCTTTATGAGCTCATTATACATGGCTCAAGTCCATATCCAGAAATATCGGATCATGAAGCATTACAAGCAGTATTGAGTGTTTATCGAATGGCAAAAGTAACTGATCTCGATGTTTTTGCGTATAAAAGGTCTTGATTATTATTATCATTTTTCATTATTAGCCACATGATTGTTTCGATCATTATTATCAAATAATGTTATCTTGCTGGCAAGAGAATCCGAATAATCGTCCAACATTCGAAACACTCTGTTTGAATCTTGATAAATTCATGATTCGGATTGAGTCAAACTCTCAAGAACTAATCAGTGTTTTTTGAACAGTCAAGTTTATTTTTGTAAAAAATCGGCTATGTTGATAATGAATTTTTTTTCCTTCATTTTGGAGATAATTTGTCTTAAAGACGGCATTCCATCTTTTCTAATCTATCAAATACATCGCTCATGCAGATGAGCTAATACCATTGACAACTATTTAAATGATACAGTGTGTCCCAAACGTTCGCCGAAAAAGTAAATTCGTATAGCTCCACTATTTATCAAACTTAATCAACTGGTTTTTTTTTCTGATGATAGGTATAACTGTGAAGTTTTTTATGTACGAACAAATATCACAGATACTATTCAAAGTTATCACTTTCGACTTCAGAAAAAGAATCCTTCGCAGTGTTTCTCTTTGCATGCTTTAACCTTAGTCTTTTCTATGGTATTTATACCGACCACACTCTACATCATTCATTCGCTCGAATATGTATTTTGGATCATTGGTTTCGCTTCCATCTCCAACTAAAATCGCATCTCTTACTTTCATTTCTCATGAAATTCACTAATCTTTAAGTATTCTACCAATATCCACCATACTTTTATGACAGTTATCATAAAGTATATTGCGACATTTAAACTGATAACAACTACCATACTTAATCCTGTGTGTTCGTGCAGATATAAAGATTTGTTGTTTTGTTGACTGAACTGACCTTATAAAATATGATTATTCATATACAATGAAAAGTTCTATATACTCAACTCACGAGACATACACCACTCCATCGATATCTAGAAACCATTTAGCCATAATCATTACAAACTATGAGGAATTTTATATCTGACATGGTATATTCGAATGACAATAGTAATTTTGAAAATATCATATAAAACCACTTGAGAGTTTAAGATAAGGGTATCATTAGCAGTAAATAGAAGGTAAAAAAGTGGTGAATGCGATTGCTTGGGGAGCAATGTAATTTTTAAGTTTCATAAGAAAAAAAGAGAAGGAACAAAAACCAATCTCACTCAAATACAATATTATTTGTAATACTTTATTTTGCATAATTGATTTAATACATAAAAATCGAAAAGGTGAGTACTTCTGATTTTACTATGTATACATTAAAGACGATTTTTCGACATGTAATACCCATAGTAAAAATTATGTTATTCTTGTTAAACGAAATGTCGTATTTTTGTTTTCTATCATTTTTCAATAAAGAATGAGGAAGTCATAGACCACACATTTAAAAATCAGCTATGGAAAGAAAATACTTGAATATAAACAATTCATTCTAATCCATAAAATTTTTAATATACTAACTGTTTCTCTTAACAATTGTTTCGAGATTTGAATTATATATTATTCGAAAGGGTTGATTTGTAGTGCACGAAAATCGAACAACAAAAGAAAACAGTCTACCAAGACAAAAAAATATGATATTCCAAGTATTAGTATTTGTTTATTTAACTGATAAGAATAAATCTCTATTTTTACAGCAATCTTTCGTAGCTTTTCCATTTTTGACTACAGCTGTTGTCTAATACATATTGATTGTGTGTTTGAGGTTATTTGCTTATTATGAATGAAACTATCTTGATGAAAAACGCTATGCATTTCGCTGTCTTCTTTTCTCAAACTTTAGTACAAAACTTAAACTCAGCCGCTATTTATTTACTATAGAATGTCTCAGCAGAAACTTACAAAATGCCAATCCACATATGATTTAACTAAAATATATCAATTCAGCAAAAACATTAATGAGTCTCGTGCACGCATTCTTGTAATGATGTATAACGAACAAAAAAAGGGTACAACAATCAATAAAACACGCAGCATTCGCATAGAAAATTTACACTTACGCCTTAATAAGTTAATACTTATGCGAAATGACGAAATCATGAGAGTTTACTCTCATGTGAAGATAAATAGAGTCATTTCACCACTACCACCATCAACACTGCAAAGAGGTAAGCCAGAACGAGTTATATCACCAAAACCATCAATCCGTAGCCCATCACCGCAACCATCAACACATGTTACAACACCCAAGCCAACAACACACAGTGGATCACCAAAACCAC